ATAGAAATGTAAATTGGAACAAATTTTCTGGAGCACAATTTGATACTCTGTAAAGTCTTCAAAATCATGCACCCAGCAATTCTATTTATAGGACATTATTCTAAGAAAATTGTCATGAATACATGGAAAAAGTTAGGCATACAGTACTCATTTCAGTGTTATATATAATACTGCAAAGTTAGAAAGCATGTGTCCATAAATAGAAAATTAGGTAATAAGTTGTGGTAGCCACACAAGGTTGTACAGCCATGAGGATACTGATGTTGAAGAAAACTTTACAATAAATGTAGAGACATATAGCATGAGTCTATTAAAATACTTTAAACATTAAAGGAATGTTGATATTACTTATTAACAGTATTCTGTTTCTGAGTAGTGGTAATAGTACAATAAATGATATTACTATTATGGCAAAATAGCAGAAGGTATGTTTTGAAATTGAAAATGAAACAAAGCTAGAAAGCATCGTTAAATCCCTAACAGAATCTATATCTAAAAATAATCTTGGTAGGTTGAGATGATGAATAATAAGATTTAGTCATTACAGAAGAAAAATTATAGATAGGTGAATGGACTAACAAGTAGGTCTTTTTTGGTTTTGGCCTTAAAAAAAATCAACCATAGCCATGAGTGTTGGTATACAACTGTAGTCTCAGCTAATTTGGACATTGAGTCAGGAGGATCACAAGTTGGAGGTCATACTCAGCAATTTAATGATACCCTGTCTCAAAATTAAAAGGATTGGGGATGCAGCTCAGTGGTAGAGTGCCCCTGGCTCAATCCCCAGTTCCTAGAAGAGAGAGAAAAAAAAAAAAAGTTAACTGTAACTAATATACAAAGTGTGAGTTGGAGCACAGTGACACATAAGTAAAAGACTTAGGATTATAATTTATTTTAGCCATTTACTCTCTCAGTATAAGCAGCCTGCTGTTTTTCTTCCTGTTTTGTTTCATCTCACACCCAGCTTATTTTCTTTACAGGAAACATTCAATACTTCCTCATTATTAACTGATATTTAAGTCTCTTCACCATTTATCCCCCATCTGTCATAGTCATTTTCTGACTTTATTCAAGCTGCTCTCTTTGGAGTTCTCCCATTGCCTTCATCTTTGCATTTTAAAACTTAGCTTTTTATACTTCAGAGATTCCAGCTCAAGTGCTGCTTCCTCGTAGAAATCTAATTCATATAGTATTGATCACATTTTATTCAAATTTATGATTTTGAGACATTCATGTGCTAAGAAATTTAAATCATACAAAAGTTTCTTGCTTCGTATGCAAAATTCAAAATAATGCATACCTTTCTCTGTTAAAATCACATTAGTTCCTATTGCCATGGGATGTTCAGTTTTCAGAATAAACACCAGCTATCTTTTGTCAGGTTTGTATGAACCACTAACATTCTAAAATATGGGTTTTCAGCACCATTGTTGGAAAACTGGGCACTTTAGAATGGAAATTAGATGTAAACTCTTAGGAAGAAGGCCAAATGATGACCACAATACTACTTGCTACAAAATATTAAAGGTAATGCTTGGGAAGAAGCAGCAGAATTTGAAAACATACTTAAGAAAGTTGTGGACTTGTGCATTCTGAGATGATATAAAGCATGGTAATTAAGTTTGGTCTTTGGAGCTAGATGTCCCTAGTTCAAATTCTGAATACAACACTTAACTTTGGAATGGGGGTTTCAAAGATAATTTCTTAGTTTTGGCTTCTGAAAGGAGGCAGATAGAATGTGGAAGGAAGAGCATATTTGCTGGGGAAGATGTTTGGTTTTGGACATGTTCAGGATTTGAAAAGACATCCAGATAGGAATGTATAATAGGTAGTTGAGGCTTGTAACAAGGGCGTGATAGAGTCATCTGAGGGTAATATACTTGGGATGTGAATGGAAGCATCCCTGTTAAGAATGGTCAAATTTAGTGTCTAAATTGGCTAATTTTTTTTTAATCTCAGTATGCATTATCTTTTAAAGGCAATGATAGTTTCCATCCTCAGCACTGGGCTCCCACATTGTAGTGTTGATGGAATAAATGACTTTACTGAAATACAGGGAAGAGTTCATCAATTTGATCTCTGTAGAATGCCACCGAACTTGAAGGGGTCATATTTATTATTTATGCCCCATTTCTCCTTCAATTTTGTTAATGTCTTCTAGAATTTAAAAGGGAAACAAGAGATCTCTGTTTTTTTCTTTACTGCTCCTGATGCGGTTTTGTTTACATAAAGTATTTAAAATGTTATTTGAGTGCCTATAATTCATTCAGCCTAATCTTGCATTTAAAAAAAAATTATAGAGGGCTGGGAGGGTAGCTTAGCCCCTTGCATGCACAACACTCTGGGTTCAATCCTCAGTGCTGGGCTGAGGGGAGGAAGATATTAATGAAGATTGTTCCAGTGATTCTTCAAATACCGGAAATATGTTCATAGTGGGTATGTTATGGAGACTTCACTATTTAATTTCAACTAACATGAGGGGGTAGATTTAGAAATATAGAAATATAGATTGTAAGCAAACATTCCATAGTGAATTTAATATTTGAAATTGTGTAATTTATAGAAGTCTTAATGGAATATCTACATCAAAATATATTAGATTGGTGGCAGGGGCTCTCTTAGTGGGCTTGGGGATTGTGAAGAGACCAATCCTGTCAATATGTGTTCTGCCCCTCCTTTTTCTGTACTAGCAAAAGTTGGTTGGTTGTTTTGTTTGTTTGCTTGCTTGTTTGTTTGTTTCTTTTTGATACCAAGGATTGAACCCAGGGGTGCCCTATTACTAAGTCACATCCCCCGTCCTTTTTATTTTATTTTTTTAGTTTGAGACAGAGTCTGGCAAAATTGCTTAGTGCCTTGCTAAGTTGCTGAGGCTGGTCTCAAACTTGCAGTCCTCCTGCCTCAGCCTCCCAAATTAACAGGATTACAGGTATGTGCCACCAAGCCTGGCTAACAGTTGGTAAATTTGCATGTGTGGTTTCAGCTGTCATATTGACTCATTCTCAAAGGTTGTGAAGGTAGGTCCTATCTTTCTCCAGCCCTTAGCAACTGTATGATAATAATAAACTATCAATAGTTATCAAATGAGTAAAAAAGTGAATGCATTCTACAAATAGGGAGACTTGAGAATGTCCATTGGAAGTGGGTCAAGGAGGGGCTGTGTTCAGTAGTAGAGCACTTGCCTAGCATGTAAGAGGTACTGGGTTGGACCCTCAGCACTAAATAAATTAATGTGTCCAACTACAACTAAAAAAAAATTAAAAAATAAGTGGGTCAAGGAATGGTAAACTTAACAAAGATTGATAAGACGTAATATCTGACTTAGAGATCATAAAATCTTGATATCAAGGACTGGGGATGTAATTTGATAGACTAGTTGTCCAGCATGCAGAAGACCCTGGGTTCAATCCACAGCACTACCAAAATAATCTAGTATCAATTTAAAATTTTAATGTTCCCTGATTGTTAAGATTAACTGATAAAAGCAATAAGTTATTTGCTGACTTGATTCAGAATTCCTAACATTGATTTTAATAAATTTCTTCTGAGAAATTAGTAGAAATTATTTATGTAACAGTTAAGCACATATTTTACAATCCTTTTCTCATTTAACTGGGAGGTAGAATTGTTTGATGGTCAGTTTTATGATCCTCTCATCATTTTATTAAAATTTGGGATTTGATTAAATGGTGACATGATCCTCTTCTGAAAATATAGAAGGCAACCAATCACCTAAAATAACTGTAACCAAGTAGCAAGATACTTAATTGACTGGACATAGTAAAATAGCTTGACTATTAAAGTGTGCAAAAATCAGGTAATTCAATGTGTTGGTTAGGAATATTTTTATTATACATGGTATAATGACTTATCTCATATGTTTCCTTATAAGGGTCTTAAAAATTTTAAGTAACCATGACCATGCTGTCATATCTCACTTATCAGAACTGATAATAAGGACCATTATTGTAGAAACTAAAGCTTCAGGAAATCTGGTCGAATCCTGCAGTGCAACCATATCAATTTGTAGTTTTCTAGGCAGGAAAATCAAAAACAGAAAGTAAGTTAGGAATCTTTGAAGAAATTATTCTAGGGGTAATAATTCATATCAGATAGAGTGTATTTAAGATAAAACTACCCTTTAAAAATAAGACTTACCTATAGAAGTAAGTTAGGAACTCTCTAGCCTGGTCAGAATGTGTATGATAATAGGAGAGAGAATAAATCCCTTGAAACTAGAGTCTTCAAATAAGAATTTGGCAGGAGTTTTTTTTTTAGCATTGTCCAAGGAGAACATAAACCATCATTTGAACAAATTTTTAGTGTTAGGAAACATGTAATTTGTCAAACTTTTATTCACAGTTACATTTAATTTTGATTTAAATTCCATGCTGACCAGAAGTTATCACTCCTCAACTACAATAAAGGATTCGGGGATGCTACATGGTGATGTGATCATCCCTTGTTTTGAGCAAATAAACTGGCATTTGGTCTTTATGATGAATTCTTTTTAATAAACCTTTTAAAAACAATATAAAATTTGCCTTTTGTAATTTGGTCAACATAAATTAATCTCTGGAAGCCTAATCAATTTTTTGTGAGAAGAAGATGATTTTATCGAACCCTAGAACTGTTGGGCCCTGTGTAAGAATAACTCCTCACCCTTACCCCTTGTCTTCCTCCTCTTCTCTCTTTCTCTCTTAAGTTTATGTTGTATTAATGAAACTCACTGTTTCGTTTCAGGGCTATAAAGAGAACTGTAGGCATTTTATAGTTTTGCTTTTAAATTTATTCTCATATCAGAAGAATAAGTCATCCTTTTAAGTCCTTGAAACAATTAAGTGATGAAAATAGTATCCACTAAATAAACCAGAGCCTTAAAAAGACAAATAAAGGGTGTATGTGTCTGTTAGAAGAAAAGGAAGGGACAGTGCTTTTGAGAACAAAGACAAATTGTTTCATTAGTTCTAATTGTAAAATAATTAAATATTTTTATTTTTTAGACTTTATTGCAATATGCAAGCAACAAGAATGCATCAGAACATATTGTGTATCTTCTGGAGGTATATCGACTTGCCATCCAAAGTTTTGCCAGTGCACGTCCATTTTTGACTACTGAATGTGAAGATGTCCTCTTAGTGCTTGGCAGATTAGTACTGTAAGTTGAATTTAAATCACTCTAAATATTGAGTACCTTGTGTCATAGTGTTTGCCTGACTTATTTAAAAGACATTACATTCTTCAAAGCACCATTAATTAATAATTTTGAATGAAATTATCTTTGCTTTCTTCAGGTTCCCAGATCATATAGTCTAGGTGGAGTTCCAACAAAACAACATAATCTTATTGCCTCTAGAGCCTTTTTTCCTACTTTTTCTTAGAATCCAAGAATGATACATTTTACCTCTGTCCCATAGGTATATATTCAGATGACAGAATATCTGGAAACTGCTATAGTCTTTGAGGATCGCAACATACTTTGGGGACAATACCATGCAATCCTGTAATTTGATTATATTACTTGAACTACGAATAATTTAACCAGCAGAAAGCATCAGGATACAATATAAAATTACCATCCTAAGGTCCATGGTCATTTTGCTGTTTTAATATTGACTTCCTGGTAGCAGACAAAATTATACCTTTAATGTATTGTCCATCAGCAAACTGAAAAAATACAATAGCTATTCAAGTTTAAGTTGGCATTACCTTTATTCAGCTTATAGATTGTTTACTGGGATAACTTCTAGTCTAGGTAGTTCCTTTTATTTTTCTCTGATCTGCCTTGTTTTTCTTTCTGTTCTTTAAAGCCAAAACCTCTAACATCATTCCTTTACGGAACACAAACATTCCTGGTTTTATAATCCCATTGTTCTTCCTGCCAAGTCTCATATTTTCTGTTACCTATCCTAATCCCTGAGTGATAAAGTAATATTCTGCAAGATTTTAGGGAGCTCTTGTTTGAGCTGTTTTTTATTCAAGTTATTATACATTTTCTTTCTTAAAAATTCTTCTGTCATTGCTTTCCCTATGCCTGGGTAATGATTAGGACACAAAAAAGAAACTTTTTTTTTCTTTGCTTGGTTTGTTAGTGATGAAGAAATGACTTTGCTAATCATTGTGCTTCATATTCAAGTGTCAGAAACCTGTATAGATGACAGTTACATATATTTATCACTTTACAACTGAATTAGCAATAGCTTGAGCTTCGGTTTTTGATTTATGGAGCCAAAACTGTTCCTCCTACCTAAACAAAACTGTTTGGGATATAAGTTGAAAAGCCAAGATATCAATTTGAAGAGTGAAAAAGTTTAAAATAATCTCATCAAATGTAAAATGTATATTCACTATTGCTTTCATACTGTAATTATTACCGTAACCACCATTTTATACTTATTTAGTTTTTTGTTTTTGTTTTTGTTTTTTTTGGTAGGAGTTGTTTTGAATTACTGCTTTCAGTGTCTGAAAGTGAACTGCCTTGTGAAGTCTGGGTACCATTCCTTCAGTCTCTACAGGTGAGTTGATTTTAAGTCAAAATATTCTCTGTATAGGTATCCAAGACACCTACTTAATTACTCCCAGCAAACTAAAATCAGAAATTTAAAACAAAAACAAGTTCATTATATATCAATAGTAAGTTCATGACATGAGAAAAAGAATGTCTACCTCATGAGGGGGTTATGTTAAAAAAAAAATGGAGTTTTTGTTTCATTTGATTTTGCTTTCTTTACATAGCTTGGAAATCAACAAATATTTTTCATTATTTGAAAATATAGACAGAATAAGGCTATCAAAAATTTAAAATCTGGGTTGGGGATATAACTCAGTGGAAGAGCACTTGCTTAATATGAGTGAGGCCCTGCATTTAATCCCCAGAATGACAGAAATAATTTAAAAAACAAAAACAAAAAACTAAATCACATGTGGTTATACGGTAGCATAGATTATGTTCATGCATTTTACTTATGGGAGAACTACTTAGGCTCTCACATTGACTTGGTTATCACCTTTCTTAGGTAAGCAGATCAGAAAGTGATAAATTAGGGTGGGAGATAGGATATGAAAAAAAGCAAGTACAGTGCCAGCAACAGAAGACAGTCTTGTTACTGATGGAGACCAAAAAACTAAAATTTTTTAAAATAGACATAATAAATAATAGGAATCATTCATTTATTGATCACTAATTATGATCACTGCTCTATACTGGCAGGCTTTATGTCCTTTAGTCAAATAAACCTTATAATTTGAGGATGATTTTACTCTCCATTTACGAGTAGGAAGACAGGCATAGAGAGAGGTTAATTAACTTGTCCAGAATAACACTCACATTCAAGCCCAGAGCTTATTTTGTTAAATGCTTTCTTCAGGACACAAACTCTTGGATCTGTTTTATATAGGGACAAATAAAGATTTACATATTAAAAAACATACCTCATTATCTGGAAATTTCTTTCCTTTGGGATGTATAACCAAAATGAAATTATGTTTATGTTTTTCTCTTTGGGGAGAAGAGGAATCTTTGTCATGTTCTTGGCTTTTTTTTTTTTTTTTCTTTATTGGTACTAGGAATTGAACCCAGAGATGCTTAATCACTGAGTCACATCCCAGTTTTGAGACAGGGTCTCATTAAGTTGCTTAGGGCTTCCTGAGCTACTGGGATTACAGGCATGAACCACCACACCGGGTTTAGCATATTTTAATCCTTGTAATGCATTACTAATTTTTCACATGCCTTTATAGCTACTAAAATCATCTTTTATGCATAGTCTATTGATTTTTGTCACTGTGTTTTAAGGCCTGTTGGTAGTTTCATCCTGGCATATGCCATTCCAGAAGAGCACATACTCTTAACACTATTAGTATTATTTTTATTAGTCTTTAGAGAAAATACTCTATTTCTTCATTGTTTTCTTAAGATTGTTTGCCTGAATAAAACAAATGCCTTCTCATTACCCCTTCTCCCTACTCCATGTAAGTTTTTCAGTGGTTATCAGATACATAGGTTGTATTTTTAAATAGGCGTTCAGTAAAATTAATGAAGGTAAGAGTATTGATTTAAGAAATGGTCCCTTTTGAAATCTGAAAGACAAAACTCTGAATTTCTCTTATTTTATGTAATAAGTGGACAAGGCCCAAATGGTATTGAGGATACTTTCAGCAAAAGAATCTTTTTTGTTTCTTTGCTTGCTTTGTGGTAGTGGGTATTGAACCCAGGGCCTCACCTATACAAAGCAAGTGCTTTACCACTGGGCTGTATCCCTGCCAGACCCTGTCTTTTCTGAACAAGATCTCTCCAAATTCCCTGACTGGTCTCAAACCTAACCTCCGGAGTAGCTGGGATTAAGGGTAGATGTGATGATGGTGCTCAGCAAAAGAACAATTTTTGTGAAAACAGGCCACAAGGGGCTGAGGTTGTGGCTCAGTGGTAGAGTTGGTCCCTTGCACTTGTGAGGCACTGGGTTCTATCTTCAGCACTTCATAAAAATGAAATATAGATACTGTGTCCACCTACAAGTAAAAAAATAAATATTAAAAAAAAAAACAGGCCACAAATACAACATTTCTCAATCATGTTTAAACTATGTAACTCTTCCAGACTTTTTTTCTATTGATATGAAAATATTCACTGAAAAGGTTTTTTTTTTTTTATAATAGGTTCTTTTTTAAAAAATAATTTTTTAGAGAGAGAATTTTATTTATTTTTTAGGTTTTGTTTGTATGTGGTGCTGAGGATTGAACCCGGGCTGCACGCATGCCAGGCGAGCGCGCTACCCCTTGAGCTACATCCCCAGCCCTGAAAAGATTTTTTTTTAACTATGTATTTTTTAGATGTTGGTGGATATTTATTATTTATTTATGTATGTATGTATGTATGTATGTATGTGTGGTGCTGAGACTCAAACCCAGTGCCTCACAAGTGCTCTACCACTGACCCACAACCCTAGCCTTGAAATGACTTTTTCTTTTGTTTAAATTTTTTTTTTAGTTGTAGATGGACGCAATTCTTTAATTTTATTTATTTATTTTTATGTGGTATCAGGGATTGAACCCAGTGCCTTGGGCATGCTAGGCAAGCGTTCTACCACTGAGCCACAACCCCAGCCCCTGACCAAATATTTTTAATATTTATTATAAATGGTATGAGAGTGAACATCTTATGTTAATGTTTCTGTGTTGTGGTTTCAAGATGTGGTGCAGAATATTTTCCTCTAACAGGAAACCTGATTTTTAAAATGCCACCATAGTTTTTAAAACCTCAATTTAAGACTATTTTTAAAATGAGCTGGGGATGTGGCTCAAGTGGTAATGCACTCACCTAGCATGCGTGCGGCCCAGGTTCAATCCTCAGCACCACATACCAACAAAGATGTTGTGTCCGCCAACTAAAGACTATTTTTAAAAGTAATTTTGTTATCATATATGCACATATTACATATATGTATGTATTATAGATATATGTAGGTAACAGGGTTATATACTCTTTGTATTTTGAACTTCAACAAATGAAAAGTAAAAGATGCTTTTTAAAAAATCAAACTTTGGTTTTTTAAACGTGGCTGTGTTTCATGGCAGTGATAACTATTTTCTACCTAAGTGTAACAGTACAGTCCTGTTAGTGTAAATTTGGTAGCCAGGCAAAGAAAATTGTGGTGCTTCCACATAGAATCTGTGTCTTCACTGCAAAGTATATGTCTGTCCTAAATTAAAGAGAAAGAAGTCTGAGGACCGGTCAACTGATAAAGGAAAATTACAGCATTAGTTTAGTATTGCTATTAGCAAACTGTTGGTTGAAATTATCATTTTCTATATTAGTGCTATATCTTAAACTCTTCTCAGTGGGAGATAACAGCATATTGGGGTATGTGTAGTTAAAGCCAATCTTTTATATGTTATATATTACTTGAGTGAATATAAAACTATATTCTTAGTTCTCTGAATATTTTTGGTGAATATTTTTCTCAAGAAAAATTGCTGTAAATGGAAGCTTATGTTTGTAGAGAATTTCAGAAGTTTAAAATAAGAGAAACAATTTAGAATTTTAGAACATGGGAACAACCTCATTATAATTAGTCATCCTCTATAGTAATAAAAGACAGTGAGATACATAATCATTTATAGTAAAATTCCTGACCATTTTTTCTTTACCCACTATATATAAATTTCCATGTTTATGTGCTGAAATAGAATATCAAATAATAACCTAGACTTTTCTTAACATTTTATGTAGAGCCGCCTCTCATTTAAATGGTAATTGAAGAATTTAAATAGTTATATAACAATTAATATAATTAAGCAATATTTCTCTTTGAAGGCATAGACTGTGAATACTGCAAAATCTTTTAAAAGAAAGCTGGACCAGTGGCCTCAAAATAATTAAGTCAGCTATTGCTAAGGCTGTTGGATCTTCAGAGTGTCTGACCATCTTAATAGTAGGGCACTTTAGATACTCAGTAGTAGTGCAAGAGCTAAATTATTGATTGTGGTGATTATTTTACCTGAGGGGAATTCAGGAAAACATTTTAAAGTTTTCAGTAATTTAAAAAGTAGCAACAGAACTGCTTAAAGCTTTGAGGATAGTGTAGTCCTTGTGTTTTTGCTAGTTTATTTTTAGGAAATCCAAGTTAAAGATCCTTTCAGTTCACAGATGTTCAGCTATATTGATAAGACAAAGTGTTAATTACTGGCTTATTTTCTGTTTTTGTTTTAGGAGTCACATAATACATTGTTGGAATTTGGAAATAATAACCTACAAATATTGGTTCATGTTACCCAAGAAGGGGTGTGGAAAAACCCAATTCTTCTTAAAATTCTGTCTCAACAGCCAGTAGAAACAGAAGAAGGTAACTCTTAATACTTCATTGACTATTTGGGAGGAGAATTTAGTTAGTTTATTATGGGTTAAAACTTTATGAATTTTGCCTCTATATACCTGGTCATTCACTTTTCTTTTGAGTAGTAAAAATTATTAGCATTTAATGTTTTGCTTATGTAAGTAAGGATTCTTGGAATTTTAGGTAGTGTTCAAAATATCACTTTGCAATAATCTGCTAGTCTTTGGTATATGGTAGAGCTTTGCTTATAATGAAAATTAAAGTATAAATGTGAGTTGACATTTGCATTTTAGACATTGTATTGACATTTTAGGCTATATTTGATATAGACAACAATTATAACTATTTACTTGAAGTTAATGGAAAGCTCAGAGGATCACATTCTGTTATAATAAAAACAGGTTCAAAACAATTATACTTTTCTACAAACCTTCAGTTTAGGTCTTGGAATAAGAAGCATTGGTGCCTTAAAATATCCCAGTTGATTAATTTATTCACCAAATTTGACCACCATGTACATGCTGTTTAAGTCTTTCTGTATAGTAAGAAAATTAGCATAAAGTTGTTTAGATTTTATCTTGGTCCTGGCCTTTGATGAGTCTGTTGCTTATCATTGCAGTGACAATTAAAAGATAAGAAGGAGTAGAGCTATTAAATAGAAAAGAGATTGGTATTTATTGTTTTCTGTTGAGGTCCTCAATAGGTATCTGTAAATATACATAGATGGAGGCTAAAATTAACTTTATAATTGTTAAAAGCTGCTAGAGGACAGAACTAAGTATAGTCATGCGCCACTTAACAATGGGAATTTGTTTGAGAACTGTCATTAATTATATAATTTTCAGATGAAAGTCAAGAATATATTTAAACAAAGTCATTCATTTCAGGTGCCCTCTTGCAGTCAAGAGGTGTAGTATAGCAAGGTACACCTGTAATCCCAGTTACTTAAGAGACTGAGGCAGGAGGATCTCAAGTTCCTGCGAGCCTCACAACTTAGTGAGAACTTGTCTCAAATAATAACTAAAAAAGGGCAGGAGGTATGACTCAGTAATAGAGTACCCCTGGGTTCAATCCCCAGTACCACATGCACAGACACAAAAAAGATGTGCTTTAAACCCAAAATGTATGAGGCTTCTGCTGGTATAACACAACATACTGTTTTATGGTAAACTATTTAATAAACAGAAGGAGTATACTCAACTATAAAAAAGAGTATTGTAAGACTGGTAGTCTAGTAGGTTTGTTTACACTGACACCATCATCACAAATATGTGAATAATACATTACATTATAATGATGGCTATGATGTCACTAGCAGTAGGAATTTTTCAACTCCATTATAATCTTACAGGACTACCCTGATGTGTGCGGGCTGGAATTGATTGAAATGTTGTTATATAGCCCATAACTAGTTTCAAAAGTATCTCAGACTAGCATCCTCATCTAGATAAGTCTTGACTAGGACAGAGAAGAATTCATGCTCCATCCAAGCAGGCCCAATCCCTAGAGGAAAAAGGGTAGAGTTGAGTTAAACATCCCCCGTATATTTTCCCATGATGGACTAATCAAATGTGTCAACTACCTTAGGGATTATTAGTAATTTTTTTCACACAGGGAAATATCAAGAAATGGGGAGAAACATTGTTCATCTAATGTCCCATGGTATCCTATCTGTTCAGTAAAGATTAATTAAGCACCCACCATTTATAAGATTCTGGGTACATGGTATGTACTGAAGAATTATACTGAGGATCACAGTGTAAATGGTGGGCAACCTGAGGCCTACCTACTTTTACATTGATCCTTAGCCTAATTTCAGATCAAAAGATTAGAAAGCTTCCTTTTTATCTCCACTGTTCCTGCAACACAGATGTCAATATATTTGATATCAAAAAGCAGTGATTATCATCTCATTGATTTCTTAGTATCAAGCATAAAAGTACACATTTTTTACTTCCAAGGAACTCAGTAAATGCATTTCAGTATAGTTTTTTGAACCAGTAAAGGCCTATAAACATTTTTTCCTGTCTTGTGATTTTGTGTGCCTCTGCCTCAAATTAAATAGTTCATAACTTGAGGTATGTATTAAGTGCCAGCTCCTGGTATGATCATTAAAGACATCATGATAGAGCTCTTTTTACCTGAATCTTAAATGTTAATTGTTTTTCTATGATGACATAGAGTTGATGTGGTGGTACACACCTGCATAATAATAATGATAATTAGTTATATTAAAATAGTTTTTAAGGGCTGGGGATGTGGCTCAAGCGGTAGCGCGCTTGCCTGGCATGCATGTGGCCCGGGTTCGATCCTCAGCATCATATACAAAAAAAACAAATATGTTGTGTCCACCAAAAACTAAAAAATAAATATTAAAAAATTTTTTCTCTCTCTCTCACTCTCTCTAAAAAAAAAAAGTTTTTAAAATACAAGATTTTAAAAATGGGTATAGCAATGGTTTAATTATAATATATTGAATAAAATAGTTTTTACCTTCTAGAAATAACAGCTAATTTTTAGAATGCCTGCTATTTGTTGGGCAGTATATTAGTGCTTTTATATCTCATTTAATCTGTAAAACAGGTGAGAGGTCACACATGCACAAGACCATGTAGTTAAAATTGTGGAGGCAGAATTTGAATGAAGTTGAGATGTTAAAAAAGTTTTTGACTGGGGATTGATAACCCTTCAGTTACTAAATACATGGTTTTATTAAATATCTGTAATGTGCACGGCATTGTGCATAGTTCTCTAGGGAATACAAAAGACATGGTTACAAATTGCTGACACTGTAATAAAGGAGTTATTACAAATACTATCCAGTACTATTGAACTTGTTAATATTGTTATATGCCTGGCCTTGTTCTATGTCTTATCTATAATATGGATATTTAATAAATGTTGTGGGAACTTAAAAGGGTTTGGAGTTACGTAAATGATATGCCTGTTTTCAGGTGTGTTACCTCCTGAGTTATTTGTAAGATTGCTTACAATCTAGTAGAGCAGTGTCTTACGTTAGGCAGAATAGGATACAGGGAAGAGATGTGTGGCAGAAAATAATATGGAGGAATTAAAGTGAAGAGAGTTTAAAAAAAAAATAGCAAGGACAGAAGAGCTAAGTTAATTTTCTTGAGGAAAGGAGATAACAAGGAAAAAAAAAAGCCAAAATTTTACTTTTTGTATAATTGGGAGAATAGCATTACTGAAAAGAAACAAGGAGCTGTTTGAGAAGCAGGGGATATATGATTGTGAGTTCATTTTGTGGAGACTTATAGAAAAGGCCGGCCCTTCATGCTTTTTCAACTTGCCTACATATTATTAAATGTCTGGAATTTAAAACCAAACAGAAAAATAAACAACAACAAAAACAGTTGGGCATGATGGTCCACATCTGTAATCCCATCAATTTGGGAGGCTAAAGCAGGAGGATCACAAGTTTGAGGCCAGCCTCAGAAACAGACAATGTGTCAGTAAAAATTTTTTTAAAAGGGAGGGGGTATGGCTCAGTGGTAGAGGATCTCTGGTTCAAGCCCCTTTACCAGAAAACAAAAAGCAAATCAACAACAGGAAGAAAAACAACTTACATCTGTATGGAATTTCTAGAGATGGAACTGTGGAGCCATAATTTTCTCAAGTGCCTTAGGAAATGGGCAGTTACATTGTTTGGAGTGCAAATTGGTACAACTTCTGGAGAGCTGTTTGGCAGTAGGAGTCAGTATTACAAATGAATGAAGCTGCCGGCACAGTAGTGCACACCTGTAATCCCACCTGTTCGAGAGGCTGAGGCAGGAGGATTGCATATTCAGAGCCAGCCTCGGCAATTAAGCAAATCCCAAATGCAACTTAGTGGAGACCTTATCTCTAAATAAAATATAACAAAAGGGCTGGGGATGTGGCTCAGTGGTAAAGTGCCCCTAGGTTCAATCCTTGGTACCAAAGCAAACAAAACCCAAATGAATAAAACCTTTAATCTAGCAATTCCACTTCTAGGAATTTGTTCTACTGATAAAACTCACGTATGTACAGGGTTGCAAACTGCAGCATTATTGATGATTGCTAAAGATTGGAAACTGATTGCAAGTGTATCAGTTGGAAATTGTTGAGATGCATTATGATCCATCCGTACAGTTGTTAATGAGATAACTTAAATGTGCTGGTGATAGAATGATCTGTATAATATATTAAGTGGGACAAAAATGTCCTTTGTGCCCATAGTGTATTTCTTGAAGTATAAACAAAAACAAAAACTGGAATCAATTATTTCTCAGGAAGGGAAACCAGGGCACTGGGGTCAGACTACAAGGGAGACAACTTTTAGTTGTAGACCTTTTTGTTTGCCTTTTGAAAAGTACAGTGTTATCTGTTTTTTTTCCCCCAATATATTTTTTTAGTTATCAATGGACCTTATTTTATTTATTTATATGTAGTACTGAGAATTGAACCCAGTGCCTCTCACATGCTAAGCAAGCACCCTACCAGTGAGCCATAACCCCAGCCCTAGTGCAGTCTATTTTATGAAAATAATTTTTAAAACTATGATTGATACATATAAAGAGAAAGAATGAGAAAGTCATCAAGGGGGGCTGGGGATGTGGCTCAAGCGGTAGCACGCTCGCCTGGCATGCATGCGGCCCAGGTTCGATCCTCAGCACCACATATAGACAAAGATGTTGTGTCCGCCGAAAACTGAAAAATAAATAAATAAATATTTTTTTAAAAAAAGAAAATCTTCAAGGAAATTGTTCAAAAAACAAAATTTAAGGTCCCATCTAAGACCTAATAATTTATTAAACCCTATAAATCAGAATCTGCGTTTAAGCTCCCTGGGTAATTCAGAAGGCTTTTTTGAGTCAGAGAAACACTATTCTAAAATAACCACCCAGAGCATTTTATTCACCCATCATGTGACTTACCATGCAGTATTCCAACCTCTGCTCTATAAGTAATGTTATGTAATATCACAATATTCAAAAATTGAGGGCTTTTCCAGAGCACTATACATTCAGTACTCAGGTGCATATTAATTAATAGTTCTAAGAATAGCTCCCCTGAACCCCATTACTGGGGATTGAACCCAAGGCTGCCTTACCATAGCTACATCTGCAGACCTTTTTATTTTATTTCTGAGACATGGTCTAAATTGTCGAATTGTTAGCTTCAAATTTGCAATCCTCCTATTAGCCTCCCAAATAGCTGGGATTACAGGCTTGTACCACCACTACTGCACCTGACTCAGAGCAGCATTTTCCAAAGTGTGTACTAAACCAGGAACATATATTTTACAGGGCATTAATAATATGTGTAAAAGGGTTCTCTGGTCAAATCAGTTTGGGAAACATTGGGATAAATAAAAGTGAACAGTTTTCTTTATTGCAGGACTGTTCAGAGATTTGACCAAGGAATCCTTTTTTTTTCTAGGACTACCTCTCAGGTCTTTTGGTCGGTGGAACACACTTTGAGAAATGCCTGGTTTAGAGGAAAGAGCACCACTGGCTTTGGAATCCTTGGCAAGTTACCTAACTTCTCTGAATATTAATTTTCCTAACTTTAAACTGGGGATAATACTTGCCTTGGTGGTGGTGTGAAGAATAAATGAGAATATAAGAAAACTTTTAAATGCTTAAAACTTGATACCTCATGAGTATTCAGTTGATAGTTATTAATATTATGTAGGTTACTTGCTTCATTTTCTTGCCTTTATTTGCATAGTTCATTTCACTATTCCTTACTAGTCTCATCAGAAAGTGAGGGAAAGACAAGGTCAAATAATTTATTTTTATAAAATGTTGATAACTTTATTAAAAGGTTTGATATTTGGAATAAAAATACTAATTAATGTGGAAATTATTAGCATCATTTTTCTCTTATCTCTGAGAGATGAATATTGAGACCAGAATAAACTTCCCATTCATATCTGCTGAATTTTTATTAACCAAAAGCAAGACAACAACAAAAAGATATAAAACTTTCACCATATGTGGTATGTTATCAAAATTTTATTTTTCCTTTTTTCTAGTCAATAAATTGATTGCACAAGAAGGACCTTCCTTTCTACAAATGAGAATAAAACATTTGTTGAAATCTAACTGCATCCCCCAGGCTACTGCTTTATCAAAACTATGTGCAGAATCTAAAGAGATTTCACATGTGTCATCTTTTCAGCAAGCTTATATCACATGTTTATGTTCCATGCTCCCTAATGAAGATGCTATTAAGGAGGTAAGTAAATTAAATAACTGTTATTATTATTATTTGTAGAGATGATGTATGGTTACTATTTCCCATCAGAATGAAAACCAATATTATTTATTTTTAGTGTACTGCAAAGTATTGCTTTAACTGTGTTTGTAACTGTTTAACAGATTGAATGTATAGCAATACTTTATAGGTGGATTTGAAAGTAGGTAATTAAATAAAACACAAATGATATTTATCTTTAGATGAGGGTTTTCTGTGAAATCTTTAAATATGAAAGTTTTTTCTTAATTTTGTTGTTTTGAGAAATGCAGAAATTGTTAATAGTAGCGTCAAGAGATAAACTAAAAAGACTGGGAGCTTAGTTACTTTATGCATTTAACTCTGTAAAATGTAGGACTCCCAGACTCCTTGAAAAAAAATATGTATATCTTTTGTTTGTTTCGCGGGATATTGAGGATTGAACTTGGCACTTGACCACTGAGCCATATCCCTAGCCCTGTTTTGTATTTTATTTAGAGACAGGGTCTCACTTAGTTGCTTAATGCCTCACTTTTGTGAGGCTGGCTTTGAACCCATGTCCATGAATATATTGAGCAACAATTGAGTAGCCAAATTAGTTACCATGGAAAATAATTATGTGGCAGAGTTGTTTTAAATTATTTTTTGCAGTCACATTATACCTATCATTTTCCTTCGAAAACTTGGGATTAGTTTTCTCTGAAAACTGAAAGTTTTTGATTCTACAGAAAAAATAAGACTGCTTCATCTTTATTTCATTATCTACCTTTAATTTTCTCACCTACCATTCAGATCTGACCCATGAATTTCATTTATTTCTACTCTGAAGTTTCTTACTAAATGTAGGAATCCCAAATATTTTTTAATATAATAATATTTATTAACATTTTGTAATTTTACCTGTAAATATTTTATTCTCTTTCTACCTTGTTCACTTTAATGTATAGACTCCACTTGGATCTGTTGATCCTAACACATTTTCATTCGGCCTCAATCTCATGTACTCATTTCCTTTCTTACTCTGCTTTCCTGTTGTCATCATAATCATCACTTAATGGTGTATACATTCTCAATTCCTCTATTGATCCTTCATTATACTTGTTTGACTATTGGTATCCTGGTAATCCTAAATCTCCATTTTTATGACCAAATTTAGATGGAAAAAAACTTGCTAGCAAATTTTACTTTAATTGTGTGTGAGTGATGCCCACCTGTAGTTCCAGCAACTAAGGAGGCTGTAGCAGGAGGATTGCAAGATTAATAGCAGCATCAGCAACTTAGCAAGACTTGAATGTCTCAAAATAATAATTTTTTAAAAAACGGTCTAGGGTTATAGTTCTGTGTGTAAAGCACCCTGTGTATATCCAAAAAATAAAATAATGCCCTCTATCCCTGATCTACCTTATTTTCAATATCTGCTATCATTGCTATAAATATATACTAACCCATCTAACATGGCTTTTCTGTGTCACCTTATCTAGCTGTATTTTCTTTCTAGCACATATTATTTCCATGAGACATATTTGCTTTTCTATGTCCATCCCCTGCCCTCCACCCCACAATGAAAAATCCATATGGAAAGAGAAATGGGTTGGTCACTGTTATATCCCTACATTCTAAAGGAATATTTAGCTGCACAGGCCCTCAGTACTTACTTGTTAAATGAATGAATGACAATTACAGCTCCACACCTTACTCTTTTGTTAATAAGATTTTGAGTTTTCATTATATGAGTTATGACCAGAATGTCAAGCTGAAACATTCCAGTCATGCTTTGTAAGTTTTTAAATTTTGCTTGAATGTCTTTTTGAATTCTAAAGTGATGCATATTTTTCTTAAGTGTATTTCATCTTAAAATATAATATTTAATGCTCTCTGTGCATTTATAAAAACATAGACCAAGAGAAAGCTAGACTAACGGATTTCTGTAGAGATTGGTTGCATCATAGATCTGTAGTTATTTTAAATGGCTAAAATCCTCTATAGCACAAGTCTTACCTCATCAGTATGAGAAACTTTTGTCAACTCATTGTTGAAATTTAAGGTACTTCCCAGTGGCCAAAATAGTGACTCCAAGAATTTGTGATTCCATCTTGGCTCCTAGTAGCCTTTGCATTTCTATTAACTACATTATTATTGTTGTTGTTGTTATTTAGTTGTAAATGGACAATTTGTTCCTCCCTCCCTCCCTCCCTTCCTGCCTTCCTTCCTACAGCCCCAGCCCTCTACCTTATTTTTTTTTTTAAGTGTTTACAAACTTTTTATTGGAACATCCATATGGGAAACAGTTTAGCCTAGACATTGAAATTTGGTAGTCACTTGAATCTGAGAGGATTATCTAAGCAGATAATATGTGGATAGAGACAAAGAATGTTGGTCATCTTTGTTTTGGAATATGGCCTTGAGAGAAGTGCCAGATACAGAATGCAGAGATCAAATAGCCAGCTGGTAGCTGTGAAATGGGCAACAGCATGTAGTTCCTGCAAATGAGGTTGAAGCTGTGACCCCATGGCATCAAATATGCATGTTCTAATTTGTTGGACTGTGGTCAAAAAGAAGGATAGAATGCTTAATAATGTCTGTCTTCCCAGACTTCTCACTTCAAGAATTATTACAGAATGACTCTAGAGGCTGAGGCAGGAGAATTGCAAATTCTAGGACAGTCTTGGCAGCTTAGTGAGATCCTGTCTCAAAATTAAAAAAAATTTTTTTAAAGGGAGAATTTTTTAATATTTATTTTTTTTAGTTTTCGGTGGACACAACATTTTTTTTTAATGTGGTGCTGAGGATCGAACCCAGTGCCTCGCGCATGCCAGGCAAATGCGTTACCACTTCAGCCACATCCTCAGCCCAAAATAAAAATTCTTCAGAAACTAGGAGTGACAAGTTCCCCTGGGTTCAATTCCCAGTACTACTTAAAAAAAAAAAAAAGAAAGAAAGAAAAGAAGAACAACAACTATTACAGAAAACATTTATTGGGAACTTGTCTATTCTAAGCTCTATGCTAAATGCCTTTAGTGTGTTGGCATATAATCCTTATAATAATCCTGTGAATTTTATAATAATTAACAGAGGTTCAAAGAGATTATGTAACTGGCCCAAAGTTATATAGCCACTAAGTGGGGAGCCCAGGGTTTAAACCTTAGTTGGTCTGCCTCTGCTTCTCTTGTGTACGTATTAATTTCATACTCACACATGTCATATGCACTGTCCAGCTCTTCAGCATGGCCAACCTTCTTTTATAGATCTGGTTCTTCCTGATTACCAGTTCTTAGAGTGGGTTTTTTGCTCAGGAGAGTTTTTTCTCTTGTTTGCCCAGAGGAGAAACAAACAGTTATACTTATTTTTAAGTCAGAAGAGAGAGGTTGGCTGTAGAGTTCTGAAAATTCTGGGTGACTGATTACTGGACTGAATTGATTGGGGAGCATAGTTTTTTTTAAAGAAGGTATCTGGAGAAGCAAAAGCAACAGTTGGAAAACATAGACTTGAATCCTGACGTTGTCATTTACAAACCATTCAACGTTGGGCAGCTAGCTTTCAGGTTCTATAAAGTAGTCAAAATAATAGTAACTATCTCACAGTGTGGCTAGATATTTCAAAAGGGATAAAATCAAAAGGATCTAACATTGTTCTTAGAATATCATAGAGTGTAAGAAGAATAATTATCCCCCCCCCCTGTTTCTTTTTTCTTGGTACTAGAAAAGTACCACTGAACTCCATCCCCAGCACTTTTTTTTTTTTCCAAATATTTTTAATTCATTATAGGTTGAATCTATTGATTCAAAATTGATATATAGAGGAATGTATGTAAAATATCTTTCCACACAATTCATTACTTCCTTCTTGTGATATATATTTTCTAGTATACCAATTTAATTCACTTATTTTTTTTAATATTTCTTCACATTATTTTCTTGGAGGTTTTTTGGGGAAATTGCTATTAACATCACAACCCCAGCACTTTTTTATTTTTTATTTTGAGCCAGTCTTGCTAAATTGCTGAGGCTGGCCCTGAACATGTGATCCTTCTACCTAAGCCTCCTGAGTTGCTAAAATCACAGAAGAGTTCTTTAGGCCTAGGGTACAGAACTGGGGAGAAATAATCCAGGAGAATTAATCACAGATGAGCTGTAGATTTGAACAGAGAAATAGTGTGTTATATACAGAGATAGTTTTATCTCTTAACTTGTATTTAAAGCCTATTTTTTTGCTAGCATTATATTAGGCATTGACAAATACAGAACAGTGGGAATGGCCTGTTCATATGATTCTGCCCTTTAGAGATAGAAGATAGCCATATAGATTAAGTTACATACAGTTTTATAGAAAAATTGATGTTTAAGTTGTACTTTGAAATGATGGTGGGATTTGGATAGATAGAAGGGTTTAGGAATAACTGACTATGATAGTAAAGGGACGGAAATTAATGTATACTTTGTAGGGACTCACTAAAGAATACCTTGCCTAAGGCAGAAGAGTATATGTTAAGGTTTCGAGAGACATAGACTGTTGGATGGGGAAAATGAGGGCCTCAGAAACTATAGTGTATTAGAGTTTAGATTTTTTTAAAAAATCATTTTTGTAATTGTAGATGGACAGCATGCCTTTATTTTGTTTATTTTTGTATGCTGTGGTAAGGATTGAACCAGTGCTTCACATGTTCTAGGCAAGTGCTCTGCCTGCCACTGAGCCGTAGCCCCAGCCCTAGCCCCAGCCCCTAGAGTTTAGATTTGATGCTGTAAAAATTAGGGAGGCTTTGAGGTAGGAAGCTAAAGTCACATCAGTGACTAAAGTGACATTTTAGGAAAATCAGACAGAAGGAGTTATATTAGGTTTAGGGTAAGAGGTTGGAATTAACAAGAGGAGAAAGTGTAGGATTTGCTGACAGGGCATAAATACAGGATGATGTACAAAAATGTCTTCAAGTGGATCATAAGACTTTTGAGACTGGGAGAACAGTAGTGCTCTCCTACTAACAAGAATGGCAAAGAAGGGGTGTAGGT